CCCCCACCTGCCGTGTGCGCGGGGGTGCGGAGCTCCCCTTCTTGACGGCAGGCGGCGGCGGCTGCAGGAAAGAGCACGGCCGCGGGGTCTTCGGGCCTGAAGGCGGGCCGGAGGTGCGGGGGTGGGAGCCGAGCCTCCGAGGCCACACGCGGGGCTCAGGGCTGAGTGCCGGGTCTCTTGCCTCGGCGGCGCGGGGCCTGCGCGGATGGGCCCCTGCTTCTCACAGCACGGGCAGGAGGCATGCCAGGGCCACACACTCCCCAGGTCAGGAGCACAGGGCTTGCTTGCGGGAGGCGGGCGCCTCTGGGCTAGCGCAGTGGGAGGTGGTCGAGATGCAGAGGAAAGGCGGTGAGATCGCGAGGAGGCTTGTTTTCATGGCTGTTCCAGCCCTTGTGTGAAACGGCATTGCTTATCCTCTCTTGGACAGAATAATTGTGAGAAAAGGCAGATTCCTAACTCTGCCCCCCAAAGATCTGGAATCTCACCGTGTATGAGGCCTCTCAGTTTTCCAGTTATGTCTGATACTGTCTACTCCAAACTAAGTCAAGTCACCTGCTGGTACTTTGGCACATTCCAGAAATTCTGAAAACTTCCAGCAGTGAGAAATTGTAAATATATTTCAGGAAAAGGACATAAATATATATATATATATAAGTGTGCAAATATTCAGGAAGTGTTACTCTGAATATACATTTAGACACAGTATTAAATAACTGATTTGAGTGGATCTTCATAAAATATAAATTAGATAATATAAATTTATTTAATTTATCTAACTAAGGTCTTTCTTTCTTCCCTTCCTTCCTTCCTTCCTTCCTTCCTTCCTTCCTTCCTTTCTTTTTTGGAAACAACAGGGTCTCCCTGTTATTCACGCTGGAGTGCAATGGTGCAATCATAGCTCACTGCAACCTCAAACTTATGGGCTCATGCCATCTTCCCATCTCAGTCTCCCAAGTAGTTAGCATTACAGGTGCATGCCACCACACCTAGTTAATTTTTTTTTTTTTTTGTAAAGATGGGGTCTTGCTCTGTTAACCAAGCTGGTCTCCAATTCCTGGCCTCCAGTGATCCTCCTGGCTTAGCCTCCCGAAGTACTGAGATTATAGGTATAAATCACCTAGTCCAGCCTTAAAAGGCTTTTAAAATTCTAAAATGAATAAATTGTACACATGCATTTCTTCATGTTCTAATTTCTCAAAATATGTATCACTAAAGTAAAGTTTCTCCATAGTCAAAATCATTTAATTAAAAGAGTCAAACTAATATGATTTCATAATCAATTTAGTATAACCTTCACCTATTAGACGTTGGAATTCTGATTTAGAAGTACCTGTGACAGCTTTTCTTCTGCTGGGATTAAACAGCGTAATGCAAATCGGAGAGTTCAAATAATTGGCAAATTTAAGACTTTTCAGATTATCACACAAAGTTATTCAGTCTGTTTTTGCAAAAAAAAAAATTGAAATCAATAAGATAATACTTTTGTATTAGTGAAAGTTGTGAACATTAATTCTTAATAATGAAATTTCAACTGTAAGTGAATATGTTTTTTTGATGGGTTATGTTTAAAATTTGTATGTTTTTTGGCAAATTATTAGCTTCACGTCAACTCATATAATTAAACATACGAAAATTTCCCTAAGTGAGATCTGTGTTTTTAAATTATATTTAAACATAGTGCTTAAGTACTTTTTTCCTCCTTGTGAGGAAATGGTAGCCCGTCTACTCCTAGTGTTTATATAACATGTAACCTCATGTTAGATGGGCAAACTACTGGGGACTGTGAAATAATGAGGCCTGTCAGACCCTCTGGAAACCCAATAATTTTTGCTTTAGTATGGAATTCAGTGTCTGTGTGAGAAATAATGGGCTATCAGCTGAATTCCCATTTGTTCCATTAGCATTTTCCCTAAACAAAGTAGTGATCATTCTGGAAAACAGCAGAGGGCACCCGAGTTCCATATAACCTCAGCATTGGACCTTCCTGGATAATTTAATTTCCAGAGAGCCCAGAACGGCTGGACTTGGGGAAACTGGGCCACGGGAGAAGCACTGAGTGGAAGATCACTCACCCATACCCATCCTGGAGCAGGGGCTGAGAAAGGTGACTGTGTTTACATGGCTGGGTGTGGTAGAGGTGGCTGAAACATGAAAGCAGTGCCATCATCTAAGTGAGATCATGTGGTGCCTTTTTCTGCACCTGGCTCACTTCACTTAAGTCCTCCAGGTTATCCATATTGTCACAGATGGCAGGGTTTCCTTCTTTGTTAAGGCTGAATAATATTCCATTGTGTTAAGGCTAAATGACATTCCACTGTGTAATAATGTTTTGCAATGTTTTTATCCATTTGTCTGTCAACAGACATTTAGTTTGTTTTTATAGCTTGGTTATTGGAGAAAATACTAAAATGAACATGGACATGCAGATATCTCTTCCAGATCATGATTTTATTTCCTTTGTTTATACACCCAGACGCAAGATTGCTGGAGCATATGGAGGTTGCCAGGGGCAGGAGGGAGAAATGGGGAGATGTTGGCCAAAGGGTGCAAAGTTTCAGTTATGCAAGATGAATATGCTCTGGAGGTCTAATGTGCAGCACTACCCATATTTATTGCATGCTTGAAATTTGCTAAGAAGGTAGGTCTTAAGTGTTTTCGCCACACACACAAAAGATGCTAACTATATGAGGTGATAGATAAGTGAATGAACTGTGATGATGATTACAGCTCTCTCTCTCTCTCTCTCTCTCTGATCATATATATATATATATGATCATCAAGCTGAACACCTTAAAAAACAGAAGCTTTTACATAAATGAATGGATAAATGCACATATCTTGATTTCTGGATTGAAATACACACACACACACACACACACACACACACACACACGCACAGATTGAGCAAAACTGGCCACACAGACTCCCACCCTCTTGACTTGTCTGGCATGAGGTCCTTAGGGGGACATAGTCTATTCTTTTTTACACTTAGTTCATTTATGTAACTTGAGCAATAGAGACAAATGAGGTCTTTAAAATGATTTTAATTTTTTTTCAAATTTTATTTTATCTTTATTATTGGCTTATTATTATTTCTCCATTTTTCTTTATTCTATTTTGTGATGGCTCTAGGGCTTACAACAGACATCTTTAACTTATTA